TATATTTTTTTTTCTGTAAATATATATATATATATATATATATATATATCGTATATAAAAAAATATATTTATTAAAAACACGTTATAAATAAAGATAAAATGAGTTGTAAATAAAATGTGTATGATTACTCATAATATTTTTCTCAAATTTTATATTGAAAGTTTGATTTTTTTTTAAAATTTATTGGTTTGTGCCCAATATACTTATGCTATATATATATATATATATATATATATATATAAGTTGTTTATTTTATCCTTTCAGTTGTTATTATTTCAAACATATTGGTGATAGTTATCTTGTTGATCAATAAGGTGAAGAAATTCTCTTAATTTGGGAATTTGGACTACCGTTTCCGGATGGGTTGGGAGGAAATGGTGACCTAAATCATCTAACATCTGTTGTTGTCTATTCGAATTGGATTTCGTAGGAAAATAACATTAGGACACGTGGCGTAATGGGTTTTACTGTTAACTCTTAAACGTTTGATTTTAGGTCGGAGGTTCATCTACTGTGGTCGTAAGCAATTGCGGCATTAGACACGTACTTTGGAATAGCAAAATATCTAAAATTTTGTCCCAAAAAATAGATTAAAAAGATTCTTCTTTTTTTTTATAAATTCTGCATCCACATCCTTTGACGTAACGTAATGCAAAAAGTGGAAAACTATGTTTCTTTGAAAATGTGAAACAGCACTTTCAGAAGAAAAATATTGGAAGTGGTTTAGCTTAATTCTAAAGTTGGAGCTCAGAGTTAACGTGTAATGTTGTTCAATTACAAAATTCGAGATAATTTAATATAAAAGAACATAATATGGTAATATTTGTATGTGTATCAGTGTACGTGTGTGTATTAGCTTCCCTATACTAATAATGAGATCGAATTATATAATTCCAAAGTCAACATACTTGGACAACTAATGGATCTGTTTATAGAACAAATCTAGGACCAAGGGTTTGAACATAAAGAACTTTTTAAAAGTTTATAGTCGTGTTTCATGAAAAAAGAAATTTGAGATATAGCAGAATGAGCAAAAAAAATATGGAAAAAAATGAAAAAAAAAAATATATATATATGATAATGATTGATAAGTGGAGCTGAACATTGTGCAACAAGACGTTTGGGCATGAAACACAAGTGAGTCGAAGGTGCTAGTTCTGTGAAATATATTTCTACATGAAAACAAATTAATAATATTGAAAAAAAATGTAACAAATAGAGAGAAAAAATGGTGGCTATGGCATGTTCATGTTATATCCGTTGCTATGTAGTTTTTGGTCATCGCACTGATTGTGTGAAGTGGAGAGGAATGTATCTTTAATGCTCCACGCATCTGCCACCAGGTTTAGAGGGACAAGAAGGATAGGTACAATCCCATCATGTACATAACGTGCCCTTTTAATTCAAACCATATTATCTTTGTTATTGGATATCGAATCATTTGGTGTGGTGGTGGAAGGGTAAATCCAAATTTCGCAAAACGTTTAAAATATTTTAATAAATATAACAGATGTTTTTATAAAGTATAAAAACTTGTAACCCAAATAGTCATAAATCCAAATTCTGAGTACGAATCGTTCACATAACGAATTTCCGGATAACAAACCCACAGATCGGATTTTATTGCCCAAAGATCGAGTGATTTTACCCGCCCCGTCATGCTTAATCTGTGGTAAGAGAAACAAAATTGGATAGACAACTCGGGTTTATTCAGACCAGAGTTGCAACTAACTCAGATTCAAATCTGGTAACTTGGTATGGTACGAACCAAACCGGCGTCCTTTATAAATGGTTGTCAATTGATATTCAATGTCATCATCACGCTTGACAAAGTCATCATCAACTCACGATATTTCACCTAAACGAGTTCTTGGGAATTGCACACGCTGGGGAACCGAAACCAAACGTAATCGGTCATCCGGTTTGGCCCGGTTAAGCCAACCCATCGTGCAATAGAACCGGAGTGAAGAAAACAAGAAATACCAGAAATGTTCTCCCTGTGGCAACAGAACCTTCAGACATGCAAAACACCAAGTACCCTAAAGATAAAAATCCATCTGTAGCGACACTGGCATTATCCAAGAACATAGAAGTGAACGAGAAAGAAACTAGTTACCTTTCGAAGATAATCTTCTCTCCGGTCTATCAATCTTCCGAGTAGTTGGTCGAAAGGTCCCAGTAGTGACCCACACCCGCGTCAACGAAAACTTTCTTCGCAGCGGTCTCGGTCAAGCACTCATGGACATGGAACCTGTTGAAGCTCGGCTTAGCAACACTACCCTGCCACACCAACACGCATTTATTCACGGGCTTATTCTCCTCTTCCTCCTCTTTATCTTCTCCATCTTCTTCCTCTTTCACCGCCTCCTCCCAGTTTATACGCCTAAGCATTAGCTTCCCATACCTCTTGATTGATTTGGTTTTACCTTCCACCACAACAACAGTCATTCCCTCTGTTATCACAGCACAACCTGCCAAGCGGTTTTCCCGAGCATTCATCTCGACTTTGAATCTTGCTTTGGGATGAGATAGTTCATTGATCTTGTACACTGAGACTATGGTCTCCACGGTATTCGGGTCATCGAAAAGCTTCCTCTCTTTCTTCTCACGCCGCTCTGAAGGAGTGAGCTTGCGGGCTGTGTTCCTATCGATGTGAGCCTGCTCACGCTCAGCTGCTGCTGTACGGATTTCCTTCTCAAGCCTAGTTGGGTCCTGGGTTGCTTCGGATCCGAGAACTTTCATTAGATTGCTCATTTTGACCTTCGGTTTTGGTGGTTCCACAAGGCCTTGTCTGATCATCTCCTGCTTCTCCTTTTCTCTTGCTAGACGCCTCTGAGTTCGCAGTTTCTTCTGTTCCTTCTTGGTCAGTTTAAGTGGTTGAGGCGGTGGTGGTGCTGGCTCAGCAGGAGGCTCAATCGGACGGGGATGCTCAACATAGTGAGTAATTTTCTCAAGCTTAAGTTTGTCTTCGACTTTGCCACCATCAGCAATGTCACCATATGAACCATCCGTTAGGATATTTGCATCCCTGAATAAGAAACGGAATATATGTGCTAAGCATCTTCACTACGAATATTATAAAGGAAATTGATGAGATGCATCAGAAAAGCATCACCAAAAGCATCCAGAAAGTCAGAAGTAACCTCAATAGGTGGTGCCATAACTTGGAAAAGAATGAGTGTAACTGGAAACACTTCCGACCAACCTAAGTTCGTGCAAACAAACTATGGTCGTACTAACCAGTAACCATGATCTATGAAGCACTACAAATTCAATAACATGTTTGTTTTCAAAAGCAATTAGCGCAGAACAGTCTACTATATTGGCACCCAGAGCAGCCATTAACTGTAAACACTAGTATAACAAATCCTAATCTGTAGGGTTGCCAAATAGGAATCTAATTCTAAACATAAATCAAACTTAACCCACTGCAAAGAAAGAAACATAATTCAAACAGTTAGCATTAAATCAAACAATTCTCTGCAACCAAATACTTCACACAACAAAGGGAAAGATATATTTGCTTACCACCACTCCACATCAGGGATTAGTTCCTTAGGCTTCTCCTTCTTTATGACCCTTTCAGACACCTCAATCAAATTTGGATTTATGTCATCCTTTACCTTCGCCAGATGTGCTTGTTTTACCTTTAGCTCTTTTGCCTTGGCTTCGCCAAATTGAGTCTACAAAAAAAAAAAAAAAAAAAAACAACCATGAAAAGGGCTAACAAGCAAAATAAGTACAAAAAGATCGTTAAATTAATAATACGTACCTTTAATTTCAAGATTCAAAAAAAAAAAAAAAAAAAAAAAACAACCATGAAAAGGGCTAACAAGCAAAATAAGTACAAAAAGATCGTTAAATTAATAATACGTACCTTTAATTTCAAATTTTCAGCATCTCTCGTCCATTTACCTTCCTCAACAAACTGGAAAGACATTCGTTTTGGTCTCAAAATTTTGTTCTTATTTATACCCATTCTTGGATCGAAGTGGGGGTTAGAATCCGGATCTACATCAAGCTGAGGTTTAAGAATCTGAAAGGCATCTTTCTTCTGTTTGTTAATGTTAACCTGCAAAAACTCAAGGCACATTAGAAGCTAGATTATAAACCAAGAAAAATGTGGAAAAGTTAGGTACTACTAGGAATGCATTTTACTGACCTTCAATGTACTAAGATTGGTTGGTTTAGTCACATTCACCACATTTCCATGTTCATCTATTTCCCTACCGAGTGCATCCACACGCAAAACAGGGGCCTTGGTAGGTTTCTGAGGAGCAGCAACTTCTGCTGGAACCTGTCCTGGAAACAAGTTTATCAGAGGCGCAAATTCTGGGTCCTGCCGGAACCCCATCTTAGCTGCAAGCTCCTGAGCACGCTTAACAGCTTCAATGTTGGGAATAGCCCCGAGACCAACAAGGCCAGGTGCACCAGCATGTAGCTGTGCTGAAGCAGGTAAAGCTGATGAACCAGATGCAGAGACAATAGAGGTCATAGTGGTTGATGGGGGCGTCCCTGTCACCCCTGTCCGTGGACTACCTTCAGAAGTAGGTTTAGCACCCTTGTTCAACTGCATAGAAACAAAGAAACTTATATGCATCCATAGTACATCCACAGACCACAGAAAAGAATGATAAATCAAAGGAAGATTAACAACAAAACGGGTTTAAGGGCTGCAGATATCTGTAAGAAATATTTCACAGATACTTACCAAAGGGATCTTCTTCAATTTCTCAGCCAATTCCTTTTGCATCTGTAGTGCTTTCTTAGCTTTCGCTAAAGCGTCAAGAGACAAATTTGCACTACTTTTCCCTGCGGTTGACGATGTTCCATCTGTACTAGATTTTCCAGGAACCTCATGAGATCTGGCAATACTAACTCCCTTATTTTCATTTGTGGTAGAAATGGAAGATACCTTAGCAGAAGGGGTTTCACTAGGGACCAAAGAACTATCAGGTAAACTATCTGATGCCATAGAAGCTGATTTTGAAGGGATACCCTGCAATATCAAGAAAAAGATTGAATACAGACAGTAGACTCTCACACCTTTTACATGACTAAATGTTTACACAGGATCTAACACACACACAAACAAAACAGCAACAAACCTACTGATGTTAAGTCATCAAAGACCAGAGAAACCTAGCTTTGACGCAATTAAACGTATTACATACCAAAAAGAAAACAGATCAAACTCCAACTCGACATTCTGAAGCACCAAAGCGAATAAAAGATGCTCAAATCAGGTTGAGATTAAGATGAACTCACATTGGTAAACCCACCGGTACCGTTTTTGGCCCCAGAACCCTTTTTCACAACATTATCTTCATCCTTAGCAGCAGAATCCTCAAACCTCCTCCGTTCACTCTTTCGAACTTTCATTAGATTGCTCATTTTGACCTTTCCCTCCCAAACCCTAGCTTTCTTTTCTCCTTCACAAATCACATTATCTTCATCTCTCTCCTTCCTCTTACTGCTAAATTCCTTCTTCTTACCCTCCCGATCATCAAATGAACCCTCTCTCTCACGAGATCTCTCCCGCTTCGAAGATTCCCTCTCCTGAACCCTATCTCTGCTACCTTCCCTCTCCTCCCTCCGATCGTACGACGACTCGCGCTTGCTCTCACGGTCACGAGAGCTCGCTCTGTCTTCGCGCCTCGACGACGATCGGTGGTGATCGGAGTCACGACGGTTCTCATCTCCGTCTCGATCACGGTGGTGGTGGTGATAGTGATGCCGGCGTTCCCCGTCCCGTTCCCGATCACGATGATGTTCCTTCGTAGATTCGCGATCGCGGCTGCTTCTGGAATGTCTCTCTTTATCCATGGCCAAATTAGGGTTTTTCTCTCGGGAAGAATACGGAAAGCTTCTCTCCTTCTCGCTTTATCCTAATAATTCACATACAGAGAGGTCAGAAAAAAATCAAGAAAAAAAAATGTATTACAAAACTTTTACACCGACATAATAAAATTGTTTTTCTTCAAAATGTGTTTTTTAATCTCTTTTTTTTTTGTCTCCCGACAACTTTTTATTTTTAAAATTTGTAATTAATTTTTTATCATATATTGACAACAAGATTTAAAAGTGAATGTGTATTAGAAAAATCTATAATGGAATATTAATGATAAATATAAAGGTTAAATAAAAAATATTTTATAATAAAATAATTCATCTAAAATAAACATCTATAATATAATGTACAAAAATTGTTATTTTCAATATGGAAAATTAAGTAATCAACAAAAGATCAATTACAATAACGTTATAACGTAAAATCATGTATATACAAAATCAAATGTAATTTTAAAAATTCATACGCTATGAATGATGTTTTAGAACTCCATGGAATGAACAGAAAATTTAAAATTATTGTAATCAGAAAGTTATTAATACCTCTATAAAACTAAAACCATATAAACAAAGTTTAACAATTTTCACAAAGGTTGATGAATTAAACTCTTAAAACAAGTTTATATAACTCAAAATTGATGTACTATGTACTACCATTTTTGTTTAATACACACCAAATAAAAAAAACTCAAAATTGCTCTCGGTAACAGGACACAAATTTTAAAATAAGACGAAATTATTAATATAAAAAATTAGAAATTATTTGAAATAAAAATAAAAAAAATAATATACGTGAATTTACCTCATTCTTTGTCAAGTACCCAAACCACGGTAGAAAAATAAACCCAAGTCAACTAAACCGAAAAACAAAAAACCCGGTTCAAATTATAACCGGACCAAATACGAAGAAGCCAACCAAAACCAACAAATAATGTGGCTTCGGCTTTTGCACGGAGTCAAAACGTTATCCAAGCCAATGTTTTGGTCAAATGGGCTTATCGGAAGTGTAGTTGAGGGCTAAAGAGATTATGCATCTTTACGAATCCATGTTCACATCACATCCTATACCTTTCTTGAAGGACATATAGCTTACGTGTACGTATGGGTGTCCACACATATATACACGCGTATATTGAGACGTATGTATGTATGTATGAGAAGACAGACACTCCTCTGTCTCACATGGTTGACTTATTTCCATAGTGATTACTATTCTCTCTACTCATGACGGATCACATGGTTGACTTATTTACATTCGATTTTGTTATCTGTATCCGTATAAATAGTTGAAGTAAAAATATTAAATGTTGAATGGAATATGAGATTTGAGACAAGTCGATTCCGACTTTTCAATTAGTTATGGGGTTAGTAGATGGGTTTCTTTTTTTGTACACGTTGTATCATGATTTTGGTCCTTCTTTTATCTCCATCAATATTTGATATATAAATAAAAATGTCACATTATCTTCCAATAAAATAAAAATAACGCAAAGAACAAAGTTTCTTTTTTGATTGACACCCGAATGATTTAACCCCCATTGAAGTGCATTCGTTGGGATCCTTTTTTTTCCCCTGTTGACAATTATAGACAAAATATTTTTCTTTGTATAAAAATCAAATTAAATAGAAATATAATAATGTATAAACTATAAATTTAAGAGATTTATTTAAAAAAAATTACGTATTTTTCACATGTTCGTGAAAATATAAAATTGAAGGTTATTCTAAATTTCGATTCTAATGTTTATTTGATGATCGGATTTTCAAGTTTGTTTTCGTAAACCCCATAGGAGACAACGAGAATAAACCTGTCGACGTCTCCATACTACGCGATAATGGCAAATAAAACAAAAGTTTGAAATTAATTGTTTTTTTCTTACTATTTTTTTTTAAAAAAAAATGGGGACAAAAATAACAAAGACAAAGTGGAAAATAAAATCGACTATATCCCACAACTTTTTTTCCCCGAAAATTTAAAATTGTATTACCATAAAATTCGGTTTATCCGAAAATCGATCAACTTAATCGTCTAGATATGGTGAAATAACCTATAAATAATAAAAGCCCTAAAACACATGAACATAAAACAATGATTATCCCTTTTTGGTGAACCAAATAAGTCCAAGATTGGCATTTAATGATTACTTAACCCTTCAACAGTCAACAAACCCCATGTAAATTTGTAATATTACGTCCCTCCTTGACATCGAGTGCATCTTCAAGGAGTATTTTCAAGAGCTTTCCCGTGAATAATCTTGATTCCCACGTGTCATTCATTTGCTTAAAAGAAACTTAAACTAATCTTATCTTATATATATAAAAGTACAGTTTCACTCTAGCTGAATGACACGTGTCCTATAATATGAAAAGATTATAGGGTCAAAATAGATTTAATTAAAATTTCTTGGAAAAATAGATTCAATTAAGTTATTATTACTTTTAATTCTATGGTTCATTCACTAGAAGACGGAGGACCCAAATGCACTGTCGTCTTGGGCTTGATGACATTATCTAATCTTTCTTTTTCCTTTTTTTAAATTATTTAATTCTCATACACTCTCTTTTTCCTTTTTTTTGTGTGATACATTCATTAAAGGTTACAAATCAAATAATGAATACAACCGTTACAAATTATGCAATGAATTGAGAGGAAGAATTAACTTGCATTGAATTAAAAACTTCCTGATTTCTTACTAGAAGATATTCACGTATATAATAACCAAATTCAATTAATTTTAATTATATTCAATTAATTTTGATATATGACTCAATTATCAGATATGGATATCATTTATTATTTCCTTTAAACTACACGTATAGAATTAATTCTTGAAATTGTCTATAAATTGGATAGTTTTTTCCACGGCAGAAGCAAGTATCTCACTTTGCAATTCTATCGAAACTTTGGTAAGAGGCCAATACGTTCCATCAAAACATATTAGAATTTCCGTTGTATAATCTTCCAGTTAATTTATTATTATTAGCTTTTATTTTTATTTCTTAATTTTTGTCTCTTCATAAAAATTCTTTTTTTACTATCTCTCTATCCTAATAAGCCAATACGTTCCATCAAACCATATTAGGATTCCCATTATATAATATTCTATTTAATTTATTATTATTAGTATTTAATTTTTTCCGTCTCTCTTTGTTCTTTGTTCTAAATACTAATATACTTTATGTATTTGTATATACACATAAATCATATATATTATTAGCTTTGAGTGCATGGTCTCAAAATTCTCAGTTTTTTATTTTAAAATTGGCGATATGAATATTGCTCAAGGAATGGATGTCAAATTTGGCCATGAGGTATGTTGTTTATTTTTTAGTTTTTATGTTATTATGATGTCTTATGTTGATTTATTTTTTACTCTCCAGATTTTTCTGATGTCTTTTGCTAGATTACAAAAGATACACTATCAATTTTATTTTTTATATAATAAATTATATATCATCATATCATATATATATAAGTACAAATGGGAGGATAACACGTGTCTAACGTGTCAATAAGGAGAATATGGAAAAATTTTGTTTTTGTCTTCTCATTATGGAGTCAAATCTCAGGGATACAAATTACGAATAGTTTAATTATATGTGCAGTAATCACAAAGTCCGAGGAGTCATATGAAGTTAAAACTATTGTCTGTATATATATTTATTTAAGTTCCAATGAATTTTACGAAAATCACATAACCAAAATCAATGGATTTTTTTTTATCACATCCAATCTATTGATTTTACATCATATCATATCATATATTTCGTTTAACGGAAATATCACACGTGTCGTATTATTGATAATGTGAAGGGTTATAAGTAATAAACTCTTTTTTATGAATAATGGTGGATTTCTCATAGTTGGTGCTGCTGCGCATGCAGCCATTTTTTCAAACGTTACAAATTACATAATGAATTCTCTTCATTAATTCTCCATACATCAACAAAAATACCAGGAGAGAAAAGATATGATGTATTGTATGAAAACTATATTCATTTATTAATTTCTTTCGGACTTTTAAAAAAATCTTATAATCTAATTAAAAAGTTAAATTTTAATATGGGATACAGATTCTTTTCATGTATGAATAATGAATATTCATATTAAATACATTAACTTACATTAAATTATTTATCTATAAATTGGTTAGTTTTTCCTCTTCAATGTCCATATAAGCAAGTACCTCAATTTGCAATTTTATCCTCTCCGGCCGAAGAGATCAAAGAAACTTTGGTAAGAACATGAAAATAATGTTTCAATAGAGTAATGCTCCGTTTCCAAGCATGAGTTTTCCCCTTTTAGGTTCCAAGCAAAAAATGCTCCATTTCTATTGGTTCATTTCTTATTTATTATTGTTATCTAGGTTGGTTTCCTAACTTTACCATAAGTTTTTTTAAAGATTATAAAGTACAAAATAAATGTTTCTTAACATATTGGATTGTAGGGATTTAAGTCTCCATTTCAAAATACACTAAGTTATCAGGTATCTTATCAAGTAAAAGGATCGCCGATTGATTCATTGGAGAAAAGGAGAGAAGTTACTAAAGCACGCGTGGTGTAGTCGAACGGGTCGGAGATGGAGGATCCAACGCCAGTGCGCCGGAAAGGACTTCATGGTTATGCCGGCAAATTTTTTCGTCGTCGCATTTTTCCAATCGATACTATTTGTTCGAAACGGTGATGAAGAAGGTGACAATGAGGAGCTTCGTTACGTTGATGGCATTCACCTAAGCGAGAGACGCATGGAAAACACGTTGGGACAAAACTGTAAATTGTTGATTGTGCACTTGATGGATTCTCATGTAATTTATGAATCGTCTTTTGATTTTATGGAAATTTTTTGAATAGTTTTTTATTTTACTATAAAAAAAATTAATTATTTGTTAGACTTTTCTTTGAAAATATAGTTTCAAAGTTTGGTTAGCGATCGGGAACTATTGAATGCATCTCCATCTTTTACTCCTTAGGCATTTCTTCGTGTGTATTCGGTGTTGTTATTGGTTCGCTCTGTTGACCTCTTCCGGTATTGTCTTAATATTTATAGTATAATGTAAAATATTGAATTTTAACATTTACTCTCTATTTCTTTTAACTATAAAATGTATGGTTCTCTCAGGAAAATAAATTTTGCCAAAGGTGAAAAAATAAATTTATTTGTCTATAAATGTTTTGTGGATAACTAATACTCCTAATAGTTTCAATTCAAAATATATGTTCTCTATAATAATAATAATCTTGAGTCTTTGAAATAACTTAAATATAGAATCATTACTTTTTTCTATATATAAAAGTATATTTCTCTATATTCAAAAGGAATATATGTATGAGGTAATCCTAATTAATATTATATATATACATGTACGACTCACAATCTTTCTTTTTAAAAAAATATAAAATTATACATTATAATATAAACCTAACACAAAAATATCAACTAAATTCATAAATTTTACTATGATCATTAAGGTTTCGATTTTTAATTTAATTACAAAAAATTACGTTAATTTAATGATATGAATTATAAATTTAAAAACAAAATATATTATATTTATTTTTAAAAACGTTACGCGTTGTAATTTTTGGTTAGTCAACATTTGAAAAGACAATCTAAATAGTTATAATTTTATTTTATATAATAACATATTTATTCTTAAATTTTTTTTTCCAATTTTTACCTTTAATATTTGCTGTAGAAAAATAATGGTTATTCCACATTGGATCAATTTGATAGAAATCATGGTAAATGGCAAATAGTTGTCCGTGTCATTCGTTCTTGGGAATCGCGGAACACCAAACGTGATGGAATGTTGATGAGTTTTGATATGCTTTTATTGGATGAAAATGTATTTTTTTTTCCTTTTATTCCTTGATAAATTCATATGTGGTGCATATTTAATAAATCTAACTATATGTCAAAATTGTTGTTTTTTAAAAAACTTATTCTTATATAATATGTTGGAATTTTTTTTTGTGATTTTTACAGGATTATTTAATACAAGCCTCTATTGATACCAAAGAAGTTGACACATACAAAAATATCTTGATTGTTGGAGAAGGCGTCATTTCAAGACAATCTTGTGCCAGAAGAGTTGATGAAGTCAATTCATTCATGTTTACTCTTGTGCCATAAGAGTTTAAAAAATATTTGAGTTCAAATAGCATTGAAGATGAAGGAGAATGCATCATTTCAAGACAATCTTTATATCCGGTTGATTTTCTAAACTCACTCGCATGTTCTGGACTGCCTGACCACAAATTAGTGCTGAAGAAGAATGTTCCAGTAATGTTATTAAGAAACATTAATCAGCAGGAAGGACTCTGCAATGGAACTCGCATGATTATTACTCGCCTAGGTAACAAAGTGATCGAGGCAGAAATTATCACGGGCAACCATATTGGAAACAAGGTCTTTATTCCTAGAATAATAATGTGTCCAAGTGATACAAAATGGTCGTTCAAGCTTAGAATAACACAGTTTCCAGTACGAATATGCTATGGGATGACAATCAACAAAAGCCAAGGTCAAACATTGAAAAATGTAGGAATCTATCTTCCAAATCCAGTGTTCAGCCATGGTCAATTGTACGTTTCACTTTTAAGAATGACATCTTCTGAAGGACTCAGAATATTAAACTTGAAAAGTGCAAATGTTTGTTCCAACGAAGTGGAGAACATCGTCTTCAAAGAGATATTCAACAATCTCCAAAAGTAAGTTCTTTGTAAAATAAAACCTAAAATATGTTAGCATACTGTCCGTTACTCAATAATTTGATTTTATTTTATTGATTTTTGCAATCTATGATGATACCAGACCACAAAGGAATATGATAATCCAAGCAAAGAGTTACAAGCTATTATCGTCAAACTGTTGGTAATCATATTTTTAAACTCTCTTTATTTGGTAAAAGGGAAACTCTTACATCAAGTTCCAAAAATTTTATAATCATTGTAATATTCCACATTACTATTTTTTATTCTAAGTTATAGATCATGAAAAAATAAATACAAAAATTACTTATAAAACCGTTTCAAAAACATCGTAACAACCCATTTTCAATAAATTTTCAAAAACAAAACTAAAAACATGATATAAAAAATAAACAAACAAATATATTATATTTAATTGTAAAACTAATAATAAAAAATTTCTGTATTCTAAGCCCGCGCGATGCGCGCGGGTAATTACTTAGTAATAATAATAATAATAATATATAATAATGATAATAATAAATGGTTGAGGGAAACGTGTTTCAGGAAGAAACTCAAATGGTCAAACGCCAATAAAACTAATAGACTTGTGTTGATAACAAGGGTAAAACCCTAAAAAATCTCTAATTTAGCAGGAAAAAAATATACAAATAAATCTTTAATTTGTAAAGTTGTCATTCAAACTCTAAACTTGCAATATATAACTGAATAAAACCTCGAATTTACAAATTGCTACTCTAATAATCCGTTGACTTGTTTGACCATAATTTCAGACGATCGGAAATCCGCGGTGGCCTGGAAAGCTAATGTCAACATGTCCACATAACCAATTTTAACTGAATAAACCTTCAATCTAATTATGTTCTATTACGTCGTCCCGAAAAACCGACTAATTTATTTATTCTCAAATCAGAAAAATGTTGATGTAGTAAAAATCGTTTAAAGTTGATAACGTGGACACGCTGACATCAGTTTTTCGAGTCAACGTGAATTTTCAATCGTTTAAAATTGTGATCAAACAAGTCAACATGTTATTAGAACAACAATCCGCAAGTTCAAGGTTTTATTCAATTACATGTTGTAAATTTGGGGGTTAAATGACCACTTTAAAAGTTGCAAATTACATATTTTTAGGGGATTTTAGGGGTTCCAACGACCCCTCTGCCATAAGACTTTCTCTAAAGATCTATTAATTAATAAAATATCAATCTCTTTGTTGTTGTAATATTTAGACATTTATCTCGGAAATGCATCTATTAAAACGCCCATATAATCATAACATTCAGATATATCTTGAATTCTATTTCATAATTTTCATTGATGAAATCAACAAAATGACAATTACAAAAATACAAAGATGAGGGACCAAAGTTTTGGTATTAAAATGATCAAATACAGAATAAGATTGCATGGATTCGAGGAGGCAACAAAAAAATGAAACAAATACGTTTCTATAATTTGTTTGATTTACAGTTTTAAAAGTTGAATGCCCGATTTTCATGCATTAAAAATGGTTAAATTTATCATAATTTTATAGTTTTATCCAAGCGAATTTAGTATTTTATTATAACGGAGATGTCAGATTGATATCGTCCACGGAATTTTGGATACTTTGCTAGAATATGCGGTCCAACAAGAAAATATATTTGAAAACCATATCTTGATTATGAATATTGAAATTACTGTCATTATCTTATGTCAGCTTTCGCAAGAACAATGAAATTTATCAGAAAAGTAACTTTTACCAAAAAAAAAAAACAAATATGAGAAAATAATTATGATAATGATAATATACTGATAATTATTGTAAAAATCTATCACTAGGCATAGTAAATTTTACTAATTATTTTATTATTTAATTGGAAGAGGACGCACACATGGCACCAAGAGAAATCATAAAACTTATAAGATCGAGCATTTAAGGATGTCTTTAATCCTCAACAATCAACGATCCCGACATGACAGCATATATAAAAAGAAAAATGCCATAGCTTTTGTAATAAGAAAAAAATAAACAAACGTTATATTATTTATCAGTATTAAATAAAAATAAGGTACAACATAATTCAATGGGGAAAAATTCAAGATTTTAAAATAAAAATGAAAACCGACCTGAATGTGGACGGACGTGTTGAATCTAACATGTAAAGACAACAAAGTGGTAGAATATACATTTATGTGCATGCAGAGTTATCCATATGGATAATCATGCGTATTTTTTTTGTTAAACGATCATGGCGTATTTTTATATACAGAGAGAATTTTACATTTATTTGCATGAAGACTTACGTATATTTATAGAGAGTAATATTTCGCCTTTTTTTTAACTTCAATTTAGCTGTAACAAACAATCATATATATATACACACATATATATACAGACAATTTCATGTATATATATATATATATATATACACCGGTAATGTTCAATGTTCATCTTAGCTCTCGTTCTCTCTCTCTCTCTCTATATATATATATTCTGTGAATCTGAGCAATAAAAATTAGTAGCGAGAGAAACCACATATTTATTTATAAATTGTATTCGATTTTGCATATACAAAGGAAAAACGATTGATGGATACATCTAGAACCTTATAATATATGGTCTGACATTAAATTCATAAACCATAAAACATATATAAGATCCGACACGATTTTGCCTTTGGGGGATGATGCTTGAGAAATTTTAGAGGAGTGAAAACCGATTATTTCTATATTTCTAATATTTCAGCCACAATTTCTATAATAAATATCACAGGCTGACGTACTTCTTTAAAATACATCAACAATTAATTTTCAAATTTACTAAACCGGTGCCTACTAACCGTCCAAATTCAATCCATATCATTGTAACGTTGTGAAAATACTATCACATTAAATAATTATTAATTACTACAATATTTAAACATAATCAGACCCTTTTTTGTTAACTCTATAAAATCACGTACTTGTCTTGCAGTCTTCTCTGTACACATTTTCAGACAAAACCCATCACAAAAAAAAAAACAAAAAAAAATCTTAGAGAGTTTGATCCTCTATTTTACGTTCAGAATCTCTCTCTCTCTCTCTCATGGATCTTCTTACAGTTGCATATCTTTTGCTCGTTCCATGTCTCGTCTTCTTCATCGCAAGATGGGTTCTTGAATGGAGAAACCAGAGATGCTACATGCTTCACTACGAGTGCTACAAGGGCAAAGACGAGATGAAGCTCAACTCCGAGAAATGCGCTCAGATCGTGCAGCGGAACAAGAACCTCGGTCTCGAAGAGTACCGGTTCCTCCTCAGAACCATGGTCAGTTCAGGCATCGGAGAGGAAACTTACGGCCCAAGAAATGTGCTCGAAGGCAGAGAGGAGAGCCCTACCCTTCTCGACGCCCTTTCCGAGATGGACGAGATCATATTCGACACGCTGGACAATCTTTTCGCCAAGACGGGCGTTTCGCCTTCGGAAATCGACATTCTCGTGGTGAACGTCTCGCTCTTCGCGCCGGTTCCTTCGCTTGCTTGCCGGGTTGTAAACCGGTACAAGATGAGGGAAGACGTCAAGTGTTACAACCTCTCGGGTTTGGGTTGCAGCGCCAGTGTTATATCGATAGATCTCGTCCAGAGACTGTTCAGAACCCGCAAGAACGCGCTAGCGATCGTCGTGAGCACGGAAACGATGGGTCCTCACTGGTACTGCGGTAAAGACAGATCTATGATGCTTTCAAACTGTCTGTTCCGAGCAGGTGGGAGCTCTGTCCTGTTGACAAATGATCCGACAAGGAAAGACAAAGCCATCATGAAGCTTAAGACAGTTGTCCGCGCGCATGTCGGATCTGACGATGAAGCTTACTCTTGTTGCATACAAATGGAGGACAAAGAAGGGTACCAAGGCTTTCTCTTGACAAAATACTTGAAGAACGCAGCAGCTAAGGCTTTGACAAAGAATCTCAGAGTTCTGTTACCTAAAGTCTTGCCCATGAAGGAACTTCTCCGATATGCGATAGCTCGGAGGCTGAAGAAGAAAACGAAAGGCGAATCCTCGGGCGGGACCGGGATCGGACTTAACCTAAAAACCGGGTTGCAGCACTTCTGCATCCACCCCGGAGGAAGGGCAATCATAGAAGGAGCTGGTAAGAGCTTAGGACTCAGCGAATACGACATCGAGCCGTCGAGGAACGCTCTTCATAGGTTCGGAAACACGTCCTCGGGCGGGCTCTGGTACGTTTTGGGGTACATGGAGGCGAAGAAGAGGTTGAAGAAAGGGGACAAGCTTCTTATGATAAGCATGGGGGCAGGGTTCGAATCGAACAACTGTGTTTGGGAGATCATGAAGGATTTGGAGGGCGGAAACGCGTGGACCGACTCGATAGATGGTTACCCCGAGATGGCGAAAATCCCGAACCCTTTCAAGGAGAAGTTCGATTGGATCAACGACGATACGCTGAGCTTTGTTCGGATCTGATTAAAAACCACAGAGAAGCTTCAAAGATATACCGAGTTCTTATTTTAATTTTGCTGCATACAGAATTTACCTTCGCTGTTTGCCTTGAAAGGCTCTTTCTTGGATGTACACGTTAGATCAATCTTCTTCCCATTTATTGCAAAACCAATAAATTTTCAATATATGTAATGTATACACCAAAAGGGATATAGCATTCTTGATATATATCTGAAAACTCATCTTCGTGAATCATTCGTATATATATCTGAAAATTTCGGACATTTCACGCGTATCCAAAACTCAGATATTCGAAAAATTCGGGTTCGACATGGTTTTTAAATCTTGGAGACCAAGAGACAATCAGAAATCAAATAACTCTAAAATCTCGGATACCTGACCCATTTTCGAGTACATGATGAACCCCAAATATTAAAGAATAAGGAGATTGTTCACGTTGCAATTGAGATTGGTCCGGTTTAGCTTTCATTTGGTCGGTTTACTTCGACCGGTTTAGTATTGAGTTTTAGGTGATCTTTTTTTTTTATCATCGGAATATTCACGTGGCATCTTCGGATCCGAGATTAATTTAGATTTCGGATCAACGATACTCAATAAAAAATACATGGTCTATATTGTCATCGTTATCATTAGCTATAGGCTTATATTCTATAGTTTATGGCAGTTAATAAATACAAAAAAGTAAATTCAGCAAATTAATATGACCAAGAAAACGGTTGAATTGATAGAGATCATGGGACTTGAATTATTTACTTGGGCATTTTGAAAATTTGATTAAAGCATTAATTATTCGATTGAATTTTATGCACGTGATCAAAGTAAGGTTTCTCATGCCTCTGGATTTTAGAAGAAAAAAAAGGAGCATCTAAATCAGATTACAGTTGTAAGCATGATTAATTAAATTATTATAAAATTACTGTATATAAAGAAGTGAATGAATATGAATGTAAATAGATAGCACGGTGAGACAATGATAAACACATTGAAATTAATTAAAAAAGGAGCAAATAATAAATATGGTCAATGCACTAATGAATACAATGTTTGAACTATTTTTTTTACCCCGCTAGATATTTTTTTGAAATTCACTTCCAAACAAAGCAAATCCAAAACAAATTAAATTTATATATACGTTGAAATTTTCTAGATTTAAAATAACACGAGTTTTGAAAAACATATTCCGTCACAGATATATTATTACAACCATAACAATTCCATCACATAATATATTACAAAAATAATACAAAAGATCCTCTAAATTATGAGCAGTAAAATTATTACCTAAGGCTAATAACGTCATTGTTAAAAAGAATGCAACGGTCAACGTTAAAAGGATGTAGTATCTAACGCCGATTTTCCGTCAATAAAGCAAAAAAAAAAAAAACAACTAAAATCTTTAAAATATTGTATTTAATTCACAAAATAAACTTATTAAAAGACATCTATCGTAGGTAGTTATGAATGAAAACTGACATACAAATTTCCAGCTACAGGTTTTAAAATTGAAAAAAATTAGGCATTTAAATATATTGTTAATAAATCAGTCTCGATCCGAAGAACGGAAGAAGATATATTAGATCGTAGTTTATGATTATTATTTTTTTTATCATTTACAAAAATATTGGAAAAAGACATACTAGCATGGATATCGTATACGATGGGCGCTGAGACTACTAACGTAGCTTACTAATGTCCGTCAAAATTCCATTTTCGCGGACCATTCATATAAGATTTTTTTTTTTTGTAAATGGACCATTCATATAAGATAATAAAAATTCTTTAACCAGAAAAAAAAAACGATACTAAAAATTAATCTTGTTTATCTATATGATTCAGTTCAAATGTGGAGGAAATATTTGATTAATTTGATAAATTAAGGGACCTTTCTGCAAAGTTCCATTTGAAAAATAGGCTCATTTTTTCCTTTCATGTCCGTCTCTTTGGCCTTTGGGTCTTCGCTCGAGTCTTCTCTTTTGCCGCCTTCCCCTCATTTTCCGCTCGTCATTTCCCCACAAGCTCACATTCTCAGGGTTTCAGTCATGGCACCATTCATCGATAAATGTAAGAAATAATTCCATAATATTTTTTTTTTGCTTATTTATCTTCCTTCATCCCATAAATTTCGTTGCTGATCTGGAAATCATTCATAGTACTGTATTGTTGTTAGTGGGTCAGGTTGTGTTTTACTCGGAAGATTCTCTCTCTTGGGTCTTCGCTTGAGTCGTCTTCTCTTTTGTTACCTTCTCCTCTCTCTCTCATCTCTCTCTCTCTATATATATATAAATTTTCAGAGCCGGAGATCATGTCACTTAGCTCGAAGCTTCAATCATGGCGTCATCCATCGAAGACGGTAAAACCATTTTCAAATCTTTACTCGCTCCACCTTTCTTCCTGTGTCACACACTATCTGGGTTCTTTCATAATTTGTTTTGTCGATCTCAAGTTTCAATCGGATTGTGTTTTAGGCGGAAGATTCCCTTATTCGATTTGAACGGCTTCCTTTGCCTGATTATCGGACAGAATCTTCAACCGTTCGGACATGTGATCTTCATGTTCCGTGTCCTGCATGCGGAAAACCAAACCAATAATTAGTACATATACGTTGTAGGAAAATCCGCCGGAATTAATTGGAATACGAATATAGAATGTAGATATTAGTGTGTTTCTTTAGGTTAAGTTTATTTATTCTTATCATATGAAGATAGGACAATTAGAAATTCCAGTGAAAAAAACAATATATTATATATTTATAATTTTGACTATCAATAATATATTATCCATTATTCGGCAAATTTTGCCAGTCATCGTAGGAGGAGGAGATATAGAGAGGGGACTGACTGATACCAACGGCAAAACCCTTGACCAGCCGAGGGACGAGCTTAGAGGCGGCGTAACCCCAATAAAAAGCGATGTTCGCTTCCAGCTCGAACAGCTGGAAAGGACGAACAATAGCATCCTTAAAATCTCCAAAGAACTCAAGAAACTTCGTCGCCAAGGGATCGACAACAATACCAATTCCACGACGGTTGTCGGTATACTGTTCGCAACAGTGGCTTTCGCGGCGATATTCACGGTACCGGGAGGAGATAACGGGGACGGGTCAGCGGTGGTCGTGGGCCGGGTAGCGTTCAAGATCTTCTTTATCTTCGACGCTATGGCTTTGTTCACCTCCTTAGCGTCCATGGTTCTGACTTGGACGATGACTCTGGTTAGCGGGGAGACGAGTGTGGAGAGGAAGGTGGTGGAAGTGACCGCAAAACTGTTGTGGATATCATCGATTTGCACGTCGGTAGCGTTTCTCGCCTCGTCTTACATGGTTGTAGGGAAGAAGCACGAGTGGGTGGCCGAGCTTGTGACCATCATCGGGAGCACGATAATGGTCGCTGTTCTTTGGATCATGACTGTTTACGTCGTGAGGGCGAAGAGGGCGATTTCAATGAGGAAGAG